CTAAGTATTTGAGAGAGTGTTGAATTGATATCTTTCATATCACTTTATTGTTATAAATTTAAATTAAAAGTCATTAGAGAGTATATGTATGACTTAAACAAATAAAAAGTGTCAACACTGTTTTATTAGGCACTATTTATAAGGTGAGAAGTGTGTTCAATGTTCCAACATTGTTACAGTTGTTACAATTCGACATATTGCATTTCATGTGAAAATGGGTACTTTTTAAATACATAAATGAAGTGTAATTCACTTGGGGATTTGAAAAACACGTGTTCGATGCCATTACCGACTAGTGGCAAATGTGCCATTTGTAAATATAGCTTTGATAAAGTCAAAAAAGATTGTATATCATGTGATGAATCATGTGGAACGTGTTTGACTTCATATAAATGCTATTCTTGTGCTGAATGGAATTACCAAATACAAGAAGAAACTCAGTCGTGTTTATCCAACAAGACTGTATCAAATTGTTTTGAAAGAAACAGCTATGGGCGTGAGACGTGTATGGATTGATATTATCTCAGTAATTTTAGATGTTCTGAATGTTCTTCCAACTGCACATCCTGTCAAACCGAAGATGTGTGCACTTTATGTGAAATTACAGACTTTGTATTAGTAAACAACAACTGCACACATTTCTCGAATATCGAGTCGTGTCTGAAAGCTTCAAATTCGAAGTGTAATAAATGCACAGTCAATTATAAATCGTCAAAATAGGCTACTTGTGTCGTCATTCTTTGAATTTGGGTATTGCTGTTGATATTCCCATTGTAATAGTGATAATAACAATTGTCACAACTATCATTGTAGTCAGTTATATTAATTCAACTCAAGAAAGAAAAGATTAAAGAGAAGAATGTGTGCACTTTTAAGATTGATAGTTTAATTATTCAAATGTCAAAGTTGAACTCGATATTACTGTCTAACAAAAAAAATTCTTAAAGTTCGATTTGGACACTGATGGTGCCATCCCAGTCGACAAAGAGTCTCGCGACTTAATTTGCATTGGAAATTCATCGCCTCATATAATTAAATTATAATTCAGTGTAATGGACAATTGTGATTATTATAGCATTCATACCCTTCTTTTATTGTTTAATTTGAAAAAAAAATGAGAAATTTGTGAATTTGAGATAATTATTAAGCCACTGTATTCCTGCCAAATTAACGAAAATGTGATAGTCACTGCTTTAGATATAACTACAAGTCATTAAATGGTGCAAAAGATTTCGATTAAAGTGACAACAGAACAGTCAACTAAATGAAATTACAGAGAACTGGAAGAAGAAAAGAAAATTGGTGAAAACTCTTTTGGTGTCAATTTTAAAGGCAAGTTAAAAGGGAATGTAGTGGCAATTTAAAAGTTGAAAAAAGGAAAGACTGTGACGACGCGCTCACAGAATTTAAACGTGAAGTGAATATGTTTAATAAGATTTTGCGATTATATTTTCCATTTCTATTGAGCTGATTAATACTATTAATATTAATACTTTATTATTACCAAACAAGTTGTGTTTGGTCTTTAAATATGTTAGATATAAAAGTGCAAAATATTTAATAAAGAAAGAAAGTTCCGATTTCATTTCAATGAAAATGAAGACAAAGTTGTGTCTTGACACGTCTAAAGAAATTTTGTATTTACACGAGAATGGAATTTTACACAGAGATATCAAACCAGACGATATTTTAGGAGTTTCCATTGATACTTTGGATAAATTAAATTCAAAATTGACTGATTTTGGAAGTAGTCGAAATGTTAATATGCTGATGACTAACATGACATTCACTAAGAGAATTGGTACTCCCGTTTACATGGCGCCCGAAGTCTTACAACAAGAGAAATATAAGAAAAGCGCTGATGTTTATTCGTTTGCTGTAACTGTGTATGAGTGGTTGCCGTGAAGGGAAGCTTACCCTAAAAAATGTATTTAAATTTCTTTGGGAAATTGCTAAATTTGTGAATATAGGAAAAAGAGTTGCTAAGACAGAAAAAAAGAGTATTGAACAATTTGAAACAATCAACGAGTGTTAAAGCCTTCGCGTTGAATTAAGAATTGAAATGGCATAAGTGGTTGAGAGACTTGAAATAATCCATTTAATAATACAACCACCAAAATTATCCATTTGAAAGTTTATTAACTTTAAAATAGAACTCAATAAACATAAAAATATTAGGGTTGTTTAATTTAAAAATATAATTTAATCTCAAGACTGTATTCGTTATAGTTATTCGTCGTGTAACTTGCTATAACTATCGAAAATACGACAATAATAATTGTTTTAGTTTGTACAACAAAAGTAAATAATTATTATTATAACAATTTTGTTAAATTTGTTTAATATTTATTTTTTTATCATTTTTTTATTTTTTGACTTTTTGAATAACAGTTTTCTTTTGATTCAAAAATAAATAAAAAATTTTAATTACATAATAGTAATTAAAATAATATGGATTTAGGTAGTTAAAAATAAAATCTTTAAAGATATTCTAAATAACGGGACCTACATTGACCACCACCACCTTTACCAAAAAAAAATATTTGCCGCGAGTGTTTTTTGAAGGAAGTCCACTTTTCAGCCACTGTTTGTGCGTCCCCATGTCACCCACTTTCCTTGTCCGTACTGTGTGGACGCGGATGTGGTTCCCCCCCGCTTGCGGGGGGGTCAGGGGGGATCCGCGCCAAGGGAGGACTTTAAAAGTGGGTGAAACGGTGCACAAACAGACTGTTTGAGTGCGTCTTTATGAGCCTTCTTTTCAATGCTCCGTCTCACTCGGTTTCCACTGACTCGAGGTGATTTTTCGGCATTTTTTGAATTCGGGAACCAGACCTAATATTATCCCAGTTTCCTATTTACTATAATTTTAATTTGAA